GTCCCACAATGACCAAGCCACTGCTGGAAGCCCCCTGGTCTCCCCTGCAGGAATGAGGGGGCGCCACAGGCCTCAAACCTGCCCCTCCTCCTTCCTCTTTCTCCCACCCTATTTCCTTCTCCCTTCCCCTCCCCCCTCCCCTTCGACTGCTTCACAACATCTTAAAATGTAAAAAAAGAAAAAAAAATTGAAAAATAAACAAAATTTAAAAAAGAAGAAAATACTTATTCAATAATAAAAGTATGTTCCTTTTCTACTGCCTTTGTGGAGAAAATTTCTGGGTTGGGAAATTTTACTTTTTGTTACAGTTTCCCAAAAAGGGAAACTTCTAGGAATGAAGATGTCATATTTTTCTTTTCAACTGAAAGGTTACCTTTGGGTATAAAAGATAAAAGACCTGGAAAGAGTTTTAAAAAACTGTGAAAAAGTGATTGAATAGGTGGAGGGATTTTGCTTCAAACAACAATAGAAATAAACCACATATTGAGGTGAAAGTCCAAAAATAAAGAGGAACACATTTCAAATTGCTATTTTTCTGGTTGAACATAAATAAGAGTCATGTTACAGTAAAGACAATTAAAGAAATACAATTTAAGTAAGACTTCCTGAAACAAAGTTGCATTAGGGACTATTCTTACCATGCCCTCTCTTACCAATATATTTTTTTATTAACTATGTTAATCTTATCAACACATACATTTTGATTCTAAAGATTTAGAAAAGATCTAAACTATCTTTAAAGGAAAGTCTATTTTTTTTTTCAAAAATAAAGACCCATTAAGATTTGTGCTAATTGAATTAGCCCCATATTTTAATCTTGCTACTAACCTAATCACCAAGGAAGAGAGAATTTGATTAGATTTACTGTCTTGGGTGATGCTGGTCCTGCCCCTGGGACCAGATCCCCCCAACATGTCAACACCACCGCAATTGACTGTTGGGGTGGCACCCAGGATGTCCACCTTAGAAAAAGTCATCTCAGTAAAGAAAAGATACTGGGGATAGTTTGGCATCTTGCCCAAAAGAGAGATGGCTTTTTTCTCACCATCAATTGTAGTTTAATTTTTTTTCTGAATGAGGAAGAAATTTAGAGACACCAAGAGACAAAAATGAGTCCAAGGATTTCACAAATCCTTATTTTCCACACTAAACACAATGCCAAAATAAAGTTCAGTATTAATTGGAAATGAAATGTCTTTTAACTCTCCCTAAAGATGAAAAACTTCAAGTGTTCAAGTAACCCTAAGGCAAGAGGAAACATACTGCTTCTCGTATCAGGAATTTTCAGGAGTAGCATGGGTGAGAGGCTTCTGAAGAAACTTTGACCAATCTTCCTAAAGAAAATAACCTCCTGAGGAGGGAAAAAATGTCATTTGACAGAGTGGGAGAAAAATAAACCTTATGAATTAATAAAAAATTTTGTAGTTAGCGCTGCGTGGATATCCTGTGTAACAAGGGTGCCAAATTTATATTCTCTTTCACAAATCTAAATTAAAATGTGAAAAACACATAGTTTGAACAATTTGGTTTTTGGTTTTTTGGCTAGCCTCTCATTACAGTTATGCTCAATCTTTGTCACACCTACTAATGCTCCTAAATTTTAGGTGCAGGATAAATATGACTGTGTTTATGTTGGAGCGAGCAGGACTGAAGCCATCTTGGGACCTAAAACTGCCTGGGCTGCGAGGTGGGAGGGGATTTTAAAAGGACAGTTATTTTTTTTCTTCCCTCCACTCTTTCTTCCCACTTTCTTATCTTGCTTGCTAAATAGGAAAACAAGGCTGAGAAGCTAATCAGTGCTTTGCAAAACTAACAGTTCTTTCTTTGAGACTCATAGAGTTTTGAAAAGTGATCAAGACCAAATGACTGGAAGCTGACCTTTGGCACCAGCCAAGTCAACCAGAGCTCTGCAAAGCCAAACTATGCAAAAGACTTTGTAGAAAAGTTGATTCTACTGTGGAGCAAATCAAAATCTTACAGGACCCTGAGATAACGGTGAAGATGAGAACAGAAACCAGAACAGGACTTCGTGAGACCTTGCACCTGATTTATAGACAAAGACCCCTCAGTAGCTCATGTCTCTGTCTCTCCTGCTTTTCACCTCCCACATTCCATTCCCTCAGCTCCCCTTCCCCTTTAAAAGCCCCTCAGTAAATCTAAGTCTTTGAGATGGGATGGCCTACCATCTTCAGCTAAATGCATTTGCTCTTCTAACACCAACCATTTGACTTCTGAGTCTTCTTCTTTCCTTTTTGAGGGGTTGAGTAGCCAGACCTGAGTTTGGTAACACTTAGACACTAAAGTCTCCATGGAAAATTCACTAATCTGGGAATTCTAAACATGACTGTTCCATAAATCAGCTTCAGAGATCATGTAAACACCTAGAAACTTTATACATTATCATTGATAATATCTGATTGAATCGTGTCCCCAAAGTTCATATATTAGAGGCCTAATTCCAACTGTAATTAAGGTGGGAAATCCTATTATGGTAATCGAAAGATGAGGCGTTGGAAGAAGTGATTAGATTGTAGGACCATGCCATAGTGAATAGGTTGATAATGGTGGTCAGGGATGTGGTTCTGAGGGCATTAAAAAAAGAGAACATGACAGGTTAGTCTCTCTCTGCTCCACTACCTTCTACTGGGTCACTGTCGCCACCACCAAAACCCTCACCAGAGGTGTTCCCTGCACTGTGGATTTCCCAGCCTTCAAAACTATAAGCAATAAATTTTGTTTTCTGTATAAATCACCCAGTTCCAGGTATTTTGTTATAAGCAACAGAAATGGACTAATACAACTATTCAGATGGAAGTGAGACTATGAGTCTTCATGATTAGATTGTGAGGATTGCATCCTGGTGAATGAATTGATCCAATCATGGAGGAATGGGTGTGGCTCTGATGGCTTTTGGTCTCCATTGTAACAGTGTTAAGAGGGTGGAAGATTCAACTATGGTATTTGAGAGGTGGGACCTTTAAGAGGTGATTAGATCGTGAGGATTGCATCCTGGTGAATGAATTGATCCAATCATGGAGGAACGTGTGTGGCTCTGATGGCTTTATAAGGAGGGCAAATGAAAAGGTTAGCTTACTCTGCTGAGGCCATTCTCACCACTTGACACCCTGCAGCACAGTACAGAGTCAGCACCAAGGAGAAGGCCCTCACCAAATGTTTCCCCTGGACCATGGACTTCCCAGCCTCCCAAACTGTAAGAAATAAATTTTTATTTCTTTATAAATTGCCCAGTTTCAGGTATTCTGTTACAAACAATAGAAACAGACTAATACACAGGGGTATGTGTGAGCCAAACAAACCTGATTTAATCATTTTATTTACATTGATTTAATTTGCTGTCCCTTAAAAAGGGAATTCTGGTAAAATTTCCTTTTGTGATTTTGTAGACAGAGTATTCCTCCTTCAAGGTAATTTCATCCTTGGAAGGTAAAGGCAAGTTGTGATAACATAGAAATATTATCAAGAATTTATAATTCTTTTAAGAAAAACAAGTATTGTTGAAGTATTAGGAGAAAAATTCTCCATGAAAGTGCTGATGACTCCATGTTCAGGGTGTACTCTGGAGAGAGGAATAGTTGTGTAAAGAAAACATCTGTGGTCTGAACTACTGCATCCATTAATAACTCTGTGCACTCTAGAAAATTATGTGTAAGTATAAATGCACCTATAAGGACTGTGGCTATATTAGGATGGAGCACCGATTCCACTCAAACTATATTGGTGTATTAGATTTGTCATGGACATAGCCAAATTAATATTAGGCTCAGAACACCAAGGGCATTGGGCAGAGCCACAGGCCATGGAAGTCTCACTAAGTGGATGTCATATCTTAATTGCTTGTGAATGTTCCAACTGAAAGTTTTCAAATACTTTTGAGCCTGGAGGAACTATCCACGGTAATTTAACTTTACTTTCTGGGATGTAATACAGAGAAACAAAGATGCACACCCAAATGTCATATTTAAGCACTGATCATTTCCAGTAAGCATAATTATGCTATTTTGCTTAAATCTCACTGTAATTTTTTTTTTTAATTTACCAGAAACATTCATTGGATTTTCCTTTGAGCATACCCACGAAAGGACATTTCTCACAGAGCGATGCTTTTGTCAATACTGTCCCGTTTACTTTCATTAACAATTACCATTATTTTTTTAACACCTATATGGTTGGAAAAGGACAGAAAATAACTTTTTGAGGAAAAAGGAGGAAAAAAGTTAAGGCCAAAGATGAGCTTGTATTTTTCTATTTTAA